TCCTGCTGCTGGTCTTCTGATAGTTCTCATATAAACCCAGCTAGATCAGGGAATTGATCTCCCTGAAAACAAATACTATTTTTGTTGATTTAGCTTTCTGCCAGGCTAGTTCTGTAGTATCACAATACGAAGAGATATCTGGAAGCAGAAAGCGTACTCTTTTTCTTTTCTGATAGAACTTAGGTATTTGTCAGGTAAATGTCAGCCTCATGTAGCGTTACATGTCATCCAGACCCATATGCATTTTTCATGTTCCAAACTGACTCTGTACAGGTATTTCATAGTATATTTGTAACATTTGAAAAAAATAGGAAAAAGAGTGTATGGTCGAGTAGATAGTAAGCACGTGCTTGAGAAGGTGTCCATCCGCTGCATAAATATATCATTATTATAATTACAATGTGGTGAACCAGCAGCCTATTTAAATTTAAATACTGTAGTTTATTTCAGGTATCTGATTTATTCCATAAATACCATTTTTCATTTCTTCAGTAGACATAAAGACATTAATATAAGTGTTTCTCTGAATTTCATGAAATTTTGTTGGATCTAAAAGCAGTTAGAGAGAATTGTCATATTTAGGTCATTTGTTCTCTCAATATATACATTATATTATGATGAGACTCCTCACCCTTTCTTTTCTTGATCTTTAGTATAATATACAAACAGATCAGTACCGAAGTTGTGATAACGTCTCTGCCAAATCATCAGATAGTGATGTCAGTGATGTGTCAGCCATTTCCCGAACCAGCAGTGCCTCACGCCTCAGCAGCACAAGTTTTATGTCAGAGCAATCTGAACGCCCGAGGGGCAGGATCAGGTGAGTTTTCTATGCAGCTTGAATTGTATCACACATCTTTTTCTTGTTTAAATGCCAAAATATAACCAGAAATGATGGAAGTTGGAAGACCAGAGCAACATAAGAGCTTATGAAATGTATCTTTGTACATATAGTCTTCCATTGCTAGCATAAGATGACAGTACTTTGTGCGCCTGTGCTTCTGAAACATAAAGCAAAACTTGTCATAAAGAGATATTAATGTATTAATGGCAAGTGGAGCTTGCATGCACACTGTCATCTCATCGTTAGCCATGAAACTATATGCCGAAAAAGTATTAGAGCAGAAATTTTACTATTTTTGCCCTCTGAAGAATTTTATTTCATAAGACAACTCTGTTCTTTCTTTCTCTGTATCTATCTGCCCACCTATCTACCTTTATTTTGTTTTTTTCATGCCCATGATAAATTACTAGCATTGAAACAAATACTTTTTTAGTAACCTTTAATATCTCTGCTTCAAAGTAGTTGAAGTAGTTTATATTATCAGTAGACAAATATCTCTTTCTTCCTTGATAATATACTTCCCAAGAAGTTTAGTACTTCTTGAGATACACAAATGCAGTCCTGTCTTCATTTAACTCAATGACAAAACTCCTACCAACTGTCATAGATGTAGGATTAGGTTAGTAGTCTATGATCACATCCACTAGTGTCTGAGCTCTCACAAATTTGACTTTAAGTAAGTGTTACAAGACAGGGGATGAATTAAGAACTCTAAAAATTATCCCTGTAAAGAAAATGAGCATGGTAAAATTCTGGATATGTCATTTAGTAGTTCAGAACGTTTCTAAACAGATTTGCGAACAGAGAAGTTCAACTGCAGGGTACAGTTTGGTCTGCTTCCTCAATGGGAAGGGATATTAGGGGAATTCAGAAACTGGCCTGTATATCCCTCATTTTATTGTTAAAGGGAGTTCAGAAATATATTCAGAATCATGTCTCAAATGGGTGAGATCAAAACCTGAGATTTGCATTAATAATGTAATCTATAATCCAGCAGAGCATCATGGTGGAACTGTAAATGAATTTAAAGTTATTTGTGTGTATGAAATTATTTTTAATCATGTGTTTAAATGCTACATTTCATTGGAGCATAACTTCTTGTCTCTTACAGAAGGCTTTAACCTTCCAAAATGGCCATTTTTTCGAGACACTGAATTTCCTCAACTAGGCACTCTTGCAGTATCTTTGACAGGCTGAACAAAATATAGTTTTTTCCCATAACTATGTCTCTTTTGAGGAGACATATTATCAAGAAGGTCCATTGGGTTCAGAATGTCTGATCGCAAGTATCAGAAGGGTCACAACCGCAGGAGAATCAATAACCTCATGCTAGGCTGGAAAGGGGTCAAATCCTTGTTCTGATTCAATGTCTTGCAGAGAGAGCGCCTTGGGAACAGGTGAACAAATATGAGGAAGAAATTAACTGCTTTTTAAAGTTATTTATAATTTTAATAGTGTTTCTTCTAAGCTGGGTGGTTTTTTTTCTCCCCTCAAAAAACCCATTAAAAACCATGGGAGATGCCTAGTGTACTATATTTGCAGTTAGCCCATTTCAACAATATAATGCAATGGAGCAAATTTTAAGATCATAGAAATTATAGGGATGGAGTAGATTTAATCACTTTCATAAATTTATCAACTTTGATAAGTCTGACCTTATCAGTGGTTCTCTACTGTTTCATCCCAGTTCTTTGAGCGCTTTCTGTATAAGACTAACTTTCCTTACATGAGCTGACCCATTCACTTCAGTGGAACTTTTTAGATAATTATTTGCTTGTAAAAGTCTTATCCTCAACTGGGTCCCTACGAATGTATGTATTTCTTGGGAATATAAAACTGCTGAAACCAATAGAGCCATTTGTGTGAGCAAACATTGCAAGATCAGACTTTTACTACTGTTTTTGTAGAATGCTATAGTTCTTAATCTCTCTTTTACCATTACTGGTAATGATTGTGGTCTCATAAAGTGATATAGTATGTCTTAAAATTAATCACTTAATTCATTTTTTAGATTTAACTCATAGATACTTATACAATGTTAGTCAAATATTGTTTCTTACTGAAGTTTAAAATCATTTTCATGTTATGTTGCTAGAAAGCATTGTATCCAGCAGATTTAGGATTAGCATCTGCTCTTTATAATTTTCCATGTGAGCTATCTATGCTTATTTTTGAATGTTTGCTTTTTGTGGCTATGGAAAGGCTGAAGTCCTTAGAGACTTGCAAAAAGGATATGTCATGGGAATTAGATGTCGAGAGAGGTCAAAATGAAAGGAAATTAGATGTTGAAGAAAAGTAGAGAAAAGAGAAGAAGAAAAGAAAAGAAAAGAGAAAAGGAGAAGGCATTTTGCTAATGATCTGAGGAAAGTGAGCTTCCTCCTCTCCTATCTCTCTACTGGCAGCCTCTATCACATAGATTTTAATCACTTTTTCGTGCAGCTTACTTTTTATGTGGAGGTGGAGAGTCAGTTTGGGGAAAGAGGTTGATTATATTATGAGCAGTTTTTCAGAGTGAGACTCATCCTATTTAACTTCAGCCCTAAAAGCTGTGAATCTACAGTGGAATTCATCTAAAAATTAGGTGTTTGTTAAATTAGTTGTGTAACTTCCCTAAGTCATCATTAGAAAGAGGCAAAGACCTCTTATCTTGGGTGGTTCATCTCATCTTCAGATAGATGTCAAAGATGGGCAAATTGTCCTTTTTTTGCATTAATTTTTGAGGGAACCCTTAAGGACTAATTGAGATAGGTTACTTTCATTTTAGACATCAAAAATGGAGTGAAGTTGATTCTTTCTCTTAAGTACTAACATTTCCTTGAGTTAAAGTAAATATTGATTTGAAGTTCAGAGTTTATGAGTAATTTGAAGTTTAATTTTATTCTTGTCTCCAAAGATCCCAATGTTAACGTATATCAGTCATGCCACATGTTAGGGGTAGAGCAGGAAGGACAAGGAAAAAGTGTTTTTAAGCTTCCTGTCTTCTACCTGATTGAAACTACGTTTCCACAATCATCTGTAATGTTAAGTGTAATGTTAAGCTTTAACACAAAAACTTACTTGAACTGCCCTTTTTATGCACCTACTTTTATACCTGTTGGAGATGAGAGCTGTGAAGAACCTACTAAGCATGTAGAAATGTAAAGCAGGTGGCCCAGTTTTAGCTGCTAACTTAACTGACTCATCCAACTAGTATCATTTGGTGACCTCTGTAGTCAAGAGAAAAATATACAAATTCAGAATACATAAGCAAGAGTCCTGCTCTGCGTCATCCTTGGAAGGATTGTCTGTCTGTCTCTCTCTACACTGACTGGAGGAGAATGAAGCCTAGTGCTAATACCCAGCAAGCTGAGTTAACTTAATTAAATGGAGAAATGTGGCTGGAGGTTAATTACTCCAGCCATCAGATTAGTAACCTGAAGTTAAACTGTACCCCTTTAACGTCTCTACATGAACTGAAAAACTTTGATTACTTGTTCATGTAAAGGGTTGTGGTGTCAATTTCTGAACATGAAGTGAGCTAGTTGATTTTAAGAAGGCAGTAGTTTTAGTTAATGTCATTAGCGAATACAACCTAATTATCCCTCAGATTAATGCGTTTGTGAAAAAAGATATAAGTTAAGATTCTAGGCATAAGAAAGTACCACATAGTGTCTTGTTTAGGCTATCAGTAACAAAACAGAAACAGTTTTCTTGTAATTTTGTGCAAGGTATCATTATTTCTGGATGTCAGAAGGGCAGCGGTTGCCAGTCATAGTGAACGCAATTTGTATCCACTGACTTCACTGCCAGTTCTACCGGCATAAACAGCCTCCTGACCTTTCCTCCCAAATCCTAAGGGAAGAAATATCCTTTTAAAAAGGTAGCTAATGCTTTTTCCCCATCAATCCAGGCAGAATCAGTCAATAGCTCGCTCGCTCTCAATTTTTAGGGTTTTGTGTTCTTTCATTTCAGGCAGTGTATTCTATATTACCCTATATTCATTAATAGTTATTTCTTCTTGCAATCAGTAAAGGTTTTAAAACTTGGAACCAGGTTTTAAACCATCTTTTATCTTTCTTTAACCATCTTTTATCTTATGGCTTTAAAGTGCATGCGTTAACTGTAAATATGTAACAATTTACATTTGTTCAGTAATTTTTAAATTTCATATATAACTCCTTGAGTTACATTACATTCAAATTACATTGTGTATTTCATAATACACATCATTTACAGAACAAAATACTGTCTGTATAATAAAGATAAAACAAATTGAAACATAACAACACAAAAATACTATGCGTCTTATTTGGATAGAGAGAGGACAAGCTAGCTATTCTTTGGTTCAAATTCCAAATGTGAAGTCTTGTAGTATTAGGCAATTTGAGTGTGCCAAACAAGTTAGTAACATAGGGAGAGTGAAAGCAAATCTTCCTTTTCCTTTGATCAACCAAAGGGCTATGTCTAAACCTTTTAAGGCACCAACTGATCTCATTCCCACAGTATATTTGTAATTGAATTACCTGTCAGAAAGCTGTGACATAGCATGCATGGCAAAAACCATTAGTTAATCTTCAGTCTGAAGATTTTATTGATTAACACTTCTAATAGGTTACAAGGGAGAATTTTAATTGATGCACGTTCTACATATAAGTATATGAAATAGCTTCTTCATTTCTAACTTGATTAGCATTTTCAGGTGGGTGTTTTAACAAACAGCTATGCATGAGTAAATTTGTCTACTTGTGAAATTACTTCAAGCATCTTTCTTGTTACTGTACTGAGAATTTTGCCTGACTGTCATGCTTTCTAGTGGAAGTCCAGGCAGATATCAGATGCTCTGGGAATATTGATTTAAATCAGAGCCAGACTTCTGTATTTGGCTTGCCGTAGTATTTGGAGTGAGTGTGTGTTTCATCACTGAAGTCAGACTGCCAATTCTTCTTGGTAGAACTTTTCTTTCATCACTCATAGTCTTTAATACTTCATAATGCGGT